CCCCCCTTACTTTCATGGTCCCTGCGACATAAAGGAGCCCCCATCTCATTTTTTTTTAAATCATCGTGGCTTAACCAAGTTCAACAAAATCAAGCGATTTGCATTTATGAACAAGTACATTCACCCTAGACTAGAACATGATATCATAAATTGGCCCGTCGCAAGTTTTCAGCTAGAATCTTCTTGGACATCAATGTAGTTCTAGATCATTAGAAAGTTGTCAAATTTAACTAGCTTCCTCGTGCTAAACTTTTGTTTTGTAGCGTGTCACCTGGATGTATCGCTACTCTCTGTCTCTCTCTCTCTCTCTCTCTCTCTCTCTCTCTCTCTCTCTCTCTCTCTCTCTCTCCCTCTCTCTCTCTCTACCCCCCTGCCTCCCTTCCCACTGACACACACCCCCTACCCCTCACCGCACCAACCAAACACCCAAGAACCTAAACACACCCCATACACACTCAGCCAAGGAGTTCGATTAGTGTTCCAGAACAAGGCATGATCGGTCAACCCCAACCAAACACCTGACCATGACTGGGGTCACAGCCAACACAAGGAGACTCGTTGCTAAACCAGTTGTTTGAGGCCATAATGTGTTCGTGACCAGAGCTTTAGGAAGAATAATTTGGAATACTGTAAGGTAATTAAACTTTTAATTTGTTATTAGATTAAGTGAGGAATGTTTTTACCTTTAATTTTCCGTAAGTTGAATCTTAAGTAATCCAAATATGTTTGGTGATACGATGTTTTTGACTCGTTGCTAAACTAGTCGTTCGTGGGCATATTTTCGTATTCTTGACGATTGCTTGAGAAATAATAGTTTGGAACCTTACCATGTAATGAAACAATAATTTTTTTAATGGATCAAGTAAGGAATGTTGAACCTTTCGTTTTCCGAAAGTTGAATCTTTAGTCTTCCGAAAATTTTTAGTAATACGGTACGATGTTTTTGACTCGTTGCTAAACTAGCCGTTGGGTGAAAATAATGTATTCTTGACAAGTACTTGAAGAAGATTTGTTTAGAACAGTGTGTGAGAGGTATATAAATCTTTAATGTATGAATAGATCAAGCTGAAATGTTGTTACACTTTTTGTTTTCTCTAAAGTAGAAACTTTATTCTTCCAGTCATTGTGGATAGAACCGTGTTTTTGACAGGGATATGGACAAAAAGATCAAGCTGTTTATTTAAAGTTAATCAAGGAAATATCAGTCTTGTTGAACATTAACAATTTTTGTAGTTTGTGTGTGTGTGTGTGTGTGTGTGTGTGTGTGTGTGTGTGTGTGTGTGTGT